TGTAACGTTTCTTCCAGTACCAGATATGGGAACTATCAGTCTTTCGACAACACTTTTTGTATCTGTTGGTAGAGAATACGGACCTGCCGGCTGTACACCTACGTATACCTCTAAATTTTGAGTATAGCTAACTCTGGAATCAACCAAAGCAAATATCTTGATACCATATTTGTTAGGTTTTTTGGGTATATATTGTTTGAAGCTACAACGGCCTCGAAAAGCTTCAAGTTTTTCGTCTATGGTGCAGTACTGTCCTATGGTATAACAAGATTTACATCTGTCAACAAATTCATCAAATATCTCACAGATTGGAGCTAGTTTGTCGATTTCTTTTCGTTGTGACCTGGTTTCAATATTGTCAAATCGTACACATCTAAGCAGAAATTTAAATCGATATTGGGACATTGTCAGCCAAAATCTTTCTACACCTAAACCATTCCTGTCCCACATATCACTTGTATTTAAACGGCTATCTTTCAGGCACCCAGCTAAATACAATAAACCTAAAAGTGCTTTTATTTCTGTAATATCCGTTGGTCGGGTAGAGCGTTCTCTCCGAAAATTATCTGCGATAGAAGCGATGTACAAATTGGTACATTTTACAATGTGTTGTAACATATCTGCTGTAAAGAATAATTCCCAACACTCGATGACAGATTTCGCACTTTTAGCTTTTTGTCTTATCCCGGGTAATCGGGTAATGATATTTTGTCGCTTAGTACGTGTTTTAGAATTAAAATTGCAATGCTTATTCCAGATCGTACATCCATCTTTGGCAAGATATTTACCTTTATAATTATTTACAGTATTGCTAGCTTCTTCTTTTTCATCTGCGTCTTGTTCGGATTCGCTATCTGATGGCCGTTCTTCATTTATATCCAGCTCACTTTGACTATCTTCATCGTCGGGTTCCTCCAGTTCCTCAACTTCTGCCAAAAGACGGCGAAGCCTCTCCTGTTCTTTTTCATAGTCACACATTGTTAGGTACTAAAAAAAAAATAGGTTTTCCCACATTTATGTAAAATAAAATAAAAACTTACCAAAAATGGTGGATTCGCCAACCAAATTTACTGTAACACTAGCGGTGGCAGGTAGTCTGAGAGACGTATTTTATAAACAGTTAGTCTACCGTACTCAACAAATTGACACAATACACTAGAGCATAATTCATGAAGCTACACAGGCATACAGCGCTTTTTCTCCCACCACTCACATTTGGCAGCTAAAAATGTAATCGTTGCGTCTCTCTGACTCCGCGCCACTACTGAAAGGTTAATAATAATTGTTAAAGATAAATATCTAGGATCTAATTTAAAACAATTTCAATAATTTAACAATCATATCGATTTTAGTATTAATATGGACATTACATAGATCAAAATAGAAATTAGGCGTTTGACATTTTTTGACAACTACTGCGGAAAGTAACATATTCTCACTTGGGTGGAAAGTAAATTCTTAGTCATACGCGTGTGATATAGGACACTTTCCATAGGACTATATAGTGTGATATGTGTCACTTTCCTAAGTGGTCGTAGGAAAAATACTTTATGTTCATGTGTAATTATTCCGCTTGCTGTGCAAATATCTCCTTTTCTCAAGTTATTGATGGAAAATCGCATTATATCCACATACTTGCTTAGCAGATTTAAAAATAATAAAAAATTTAAGTCTTGATTTTAGTATTTTATGGATTCCAATTTTTTTTAAATTTTTATTACTTTTCTATGTTCCAAATTATTTCACAAAATATAAACATATGTGTTTTTATTATTTTAATTTAGCAATGTTATCGTAGATTTATTCATGTAAATATCAGATATGTGCATAATAGTTGTAACAGAAAGAGTTTGTATATATTACACAAAAATGTACTAAAATTACAATTATTTACAATGACATGTAGCAAGTAGGTAATTCTCGACCAAATAAAAATAGTATTAAAGTAAATACATATGCACTACCCTTCTAAATAGTTTTAGATGTTATTTAATTTTAATTTTTGAGGTAGACAAATTATATAAACTTGTTTTATACAATAACAAATTTGCTATTTCTCAGGTAATACATAATTATACATTTACTTTTAATTATAGAAATAATACCAACAGCACAGCTTTAAATGACACTCTCTTTCTCAAATTAGAGATTGGCCCTTGTTGCTTCAAGGTACAGATACATCGTTCCAATTTCTAGTGTTATATTTGTGGATATCAGTGTACCCTTATATATTATAAGAAAAATATATTTTTCTTATACATATAAATGAGGTAAAGGGTAAAGGTAAAATGCTTATTTTTGAAAAACTGTTACTGTTTGAAAATCCTAATGACCTGAGATAAATATGTTATTACTATAAGGAGTATTGCTCCATATAAACTGTTACTACTAAAACTGTTACATACCTTTCTGTCTTAACATGCTTAACTTTGACACTTATAAACTGAGTATTTTTAAAAAATACAGTAATCATATCTTGGTTTACAATGGGCAAAACACATGAATCATCTTTTATAAATCCTACACAGGGTGTTTCAATAGAATCCTATTTAATAGAAGATATCATGTTTATATGAATTAAATATGTTTCAATGTTTCTAGTCCAGAAATACAAAATATATTGTTTTTATGTTTCACTTTTCTAATATCATCTTTAGTTCATAAGAAATAGCCATTGTAAGTTTTTAAGTGGAATTTTATTATTTTTTTAATTCAATTAGATTTACGTTTTAATGCGCTTATGGTTTATTGCTTAATCTTCTGTTTCTTGCTCTCTGCTGTTAATAACGCGGGTTAAAGCTTAAAAAGGTTTAAAAAGTAGTTTTTGCTAAATATTTCCTAATCTGATCATTAGATTGAAATATAAAAAAAATATATTGCTTCAATAACATTATTATTCTAGGACTATAATAGTGCATCATATAAAATTATAATTGAGGGGGTAAGAAGTAAAAGGGTTCATGTGCATTTTGCATTGTTCTGAGATAATTAGCTTTAAAGTTTATTAGTGTTTCAAAATTCCATTTAATATATATAAAAAATATTTTTAGTGAATCAGTTAATTTATATTTCTGAAATAATATTGGCAAATCGATATTTTGTTAAACTTTTTTTTAGTTATTGTTTATTTTAGAAAAATGTAATTGAACCCAAATTAACACTAATTTTTTTTCTGGTAAAATGGTTTAAATGCATTTTAAGGTTATTAAAAAACATTTTATATTCATTAAACCAACTTTATTAATAAAACATATAGCTTAACCTAGGTATTTAAGTTATTCATAGTCCATATTCCAGTACCATACTATCTTCTTCAACTTCATCGTTCGCAGTATCTGGGGCCTATACCTGTTGTGTAGTATTATTTCTTGAAGCTGCAGACTGGGCGTTATACTTTAAATTTCTGAAGAACGAATGATATAAGGGGGGAATGATGTCTAAGAGGCTTATAAGATTTCTATTCGTGATTCAAATTAATTTTCGCGCGCCTGTCATTTGTCACGTATAAGTAGGATGTTTGTTTATTTACGTGTTGTGGGATTTTGTATTTGTGATTTTTTAACTGTTTTTAGATATTCTTATTATAATAGTGTTTTTGAGTTTCATTTAGTGTTAATTTAAGTTTAGTTTTCGTGCTTTCGTTATAAATGTAATATTTTTCATGTGTAGTATGAACTAATTTGTTGGAAATATTGACCTATTGGTTGCTACAAGAACATCTAGAAATATGTATTTACTAAACCCAGGACATGTTTTATTATGTGGTTTAAAGGACATATCAGGTACCAAACGTTTATTATTGATGAACTTCTTTAAAAATATTACTAACTTTATTCTTATATCATGAAGTGAATTGTGTAGTACTTTGTATACATGTAAATGGTAATAAAACCGTCACAACTCATATTGGAGTTTGATTCTAAACAACGTTTTGCAAAATTTCAATATTGTGAATTTGTAGATACCCATTTATCGTAAGAAACAAAATTTTATGACTTGCACTTGAAAAATAATGAATACTTGAGTTTTGATTTTGACAATAACACCATATAGATTGCAATTTGCTGGAGGCTTTTTCGCAGATTTCATTTTTAATTTAAATACTATCACATACTATAAGAAATAAACAAATTTAAAGCTAAAAAGTAACAAAAAACTCTTATTGTAATTGATACAAATTAAAATGTAAACAATGAACACGAACGCCGATGTTGCCAAATGATGAACTGGTTTTGTCTCTGACTGATTTTAAAACTAAAATTAATAAATGAATTGAAATTTAAAAAAAAATCAATATAATAAATCGATTTTATAAAAAAAATCCTTAAATAAAAGTATGATTACATACTACTAGACACAAATTTTGATTCTTAAATAAAAGGTCTTATCCATTTCTTCAAGAACTAAAATCCGACGACGTAACGAAATTTTGCTGCTTCTGGCAACACTGAACGTCATCCTACTTATAGGTACCTTCTACTAATTTCCTCCAGAGGGCGTATCACTTAGCTTGAATCGCTAATACTTAACCATTTTAATTTTCAATGTAGTAATATTATAGCCTAAGAGCTCACTGCAAATTTTTACCGTCATCTGATAACGAAATGAAATATACCCCCAAAAGCATGTAAAAATATTGTACTTTACCAAATGGAACCTATGCCAATCCCAATTCTGAGCAAAGTGGTTAAAAAATACAAGTTTTCAGATTTGAAGTATGCAAACCAATAAATACTTCTCTATTTCAGAATTTGACCATCTGTGGACTTTCTGGGTTCATTTATTATGTTATTGAGGGTCGAAAAAGAATAAAAATCTTCTGTGGCCATATGATAAACATGGAATTTTGTAGAGTTTTTTTATTACCTCCTGCCAGTGTACAGGGACAAATAGCTGGGGAAAAAATCGTTTTTTTTCTTTTCAAATAAACCAAAGCTTCTATCGCACTCCATATATGTATGGTCAGGTTCAAGTAACTTATGATGAATCTCTATGAATGTCTATAGCTGATGAATGTAAAATACTTTAGAAGTACTTAAGAGTGGTGTTAGCAACGTTTGCTGTTGTAAATCGAAACAAATAACAACAGTATCTTCGGAATTTTTATTTGCTTCCGTATCAGATTTCTTAGCGTCATTCGTTTTCTTGGCTTTTCTCTGATGTAGCTCTAAATCACGCTTGGTATTGTTCACAAGTACTAAGTCTTTGGAATGTTTTATTATGTTATGAAAATTATCACAACGGCTACACGTATCGCTGTAGGGTTTGTGAAATTTTACATTGAACTCTGTGTTGAAGACAAACCTGTAATATGATTCTTTTACAGGCTCCTCTTGTCGCTCATTCCAAAACTCTGAGTACATTTTATACATCTTATAGATAAATCACCTGATAAATATCTTGCATTTGGATTACCTTTTCTCGAATAATGACTGGCATATTTAGGAAACCTCCTAATATGGGTAATTACAGTCTTCTTTTTGGATGACTCCATTTTGTTTGGGGGTTTTTTCATTCCCCGTTTATTGGATTCAACAAATCCCAGATCCGTTGTTTTTGAACAAACCACCTGAAATCGGTGCAAACTTATGTCAAAAGTGCGTAAAAAACATCTTTTACATACACGCTTCCCCAACAAAGTTATAACTGTGCTATAATGTTTTTCTATAGCTGCGTCTGTTTTGCGTCATTTTAGTTGAACCTTCTTAATGCAAGAAGACAACTGGCATCGTTCTTCTTCATTAATATTTTTATTGCAATGAAATCGGCAGTTATGATTATATATCTTTAATTCTATACCTTTTTGGGGTTTATTTTTAGGACCTTCATACTCCCTACCTTCAACGCGCAGCTTTTTGGCGACATTGTCTTTCCAGATCAAAGGCCTTCGTTTTTGTTTTCTTGTTTTTGAAGAAGTAAGTGGCTATCATTTGGGGTAAGAAGTTGATTTGGGTTGTTTCCTTCGGGAACATAATCCGAGTCCTCGTATCAGCGTGCCTTGAACCACGGCATTAAATTGACGTAACCTAGATTTTTGTTAGCATTAAATTTTTAATAACCTATTTAAGTATTTTTACAATATTTAAGTTTAGGTTAGGTACTTAACGTGACTTTCTCGGTCACTATCTATTAAAAGGTTAGACAAAAGAAAACAATATTGCCAAAAACTAATCTAAAGACACCAAAATAAACACTGTACCAGGCCCATGACACTCCCTGGGCGGGAAAAAGACGCGCAGCTTTTACTGCGCTGACGTTTTCGGGATATAACCTATCACTTGTCATAAATCCGGTTAAAAACTCGCTACCATGCGCAGGCAACCCATATTTCGTACACAAATATAAACTTTTGTTTACATTTTATCGAAGAAGTTTTCGTAATACATTCACAGCTTAAAAACGGAAAATTTGTTATTTTGATAGTGGATTTAGATCAAAAATACCCCAAATACACTTCAGTGTGTGTTTTATCCTTATTATTGCTCGTTTTATTTGAGGACATTGGAATAAATAGAGTGCTAAAAATAATCAAGCTAAAAAGGTGTGTTATAAAAAGAAAATACATTTCCTTCGACTGATTTATGTTTAATATGTTTTCGTGAAGTATTTCTAACATGCTAGTTACTTGAATGGTTGTAAATTGTACGTGTATAAGTGATAAAAACATCTAGTGCTTTGTGCTTCCTTTTTTTTGTTGGTGTCCCAGCCCAGCATTCCTAGCCAGCAGTAGTAGCAAAAACATTAACATTGTCTACATTCAACCCATTTACATGTACATGATTTATCAGCTAAAAGCAGAATACAATATTTCTCTGCAAAATGTAAACAATGCTACAAGGAAAATTGCTCATGTATAAATTCAACAATTAAATCAAAATATATTATTTTTAAAGGACTTATATCAACTATTATGTTAATTATAAATATTATAAGTATTTGTAACAAAATAATAGTTGTGTATTAATAAACCTGTTGCTACTCCAAAAAATATATTATTTATTGATTATCAGGTATCAAAAATATATGTACCTATAGAAATTTGTTGAAATGTTCTATTGCTCTTAATCTTTTTAATGGGTTCTTATTATAGTTGTAAATAAAAATCAACACTTTTTATCCGTCTATTTAATACTTACAAACGTATGCATATTTTAAGTTGTAAGGATCCATAGCCTCTTAATGTTTTACATTAGAAATAAGACCTGTGATGTCACATTAAATCGTGAATATGAGGTAAAGGATTTGGGAGTTGTCTTTCAGTCTAATTTGAAGTTCAATAACCATTTTTTACACATAACTATAAAAGCATTAGGTTTTTAAATCAGAAATACAAAAAAAATTAGGATTACCACCAAAATCAGATTATATAATGCCTTAGTAAGACTCCATCTTGAGTATGTTTCACAAATATGAATGCCCTTGGAAGCCACACAAATTGATCATATTGAAAAAGTACAAAAAATATTTTTACGGTACCTTTATGTCATAAAAAATACTTGTACCTAAGATTAATCTAAGAAACCCAAGTAACAAAAAATTATTTTATTTAGATCCAAGTAGTATATCTTAACAAGATGATGGCTGTTACCAATGAGTTTCTTAGCAAGATCCATATAGATATCTTTAATGTTAGCCTAAGAAAGTTGAGGACTGTACTAAATTAAGTTCACTAGATATAAAGGTTTGTTTTGTTTTTGGTCTTAAATTTCTTGTTACTTAACTCTACATGTAACTACTATTAATTTTTTTATAGTATCCAATAAATAAATTGTACCTTATGGCTGCTTTCAAACAATTCTGTGTGTAGTCACTTAGTTTAAAGTCAATTTTAAATTAGTAGTTTTACAAGAATGTCAAATAGTAATATGTATTGTGTCTATGAATTTGCTGTGGGTAGTAAATGGCCAATATACATAACTTTGATATTTTTATCACAAGAGTAAAAACTACGAAAACCATATACATATAGTTCCCATTTTAAAATAAATTCATAATAAAAAATAACGAATTTAGTCTGCCATACTTGAACTCATTCACAAAAACAAGTCACTGAGTATATATTTGTAAAAAAACTACACTAAATATGTCTCCGTTACAAATTTTTAAATTTAAAACTACATACTTTCCTATAGATTTTGCAGTACCTAAATAACGTATAGAATAAATTTTTACAATATACTAGAAAAGTTTTAGATTAGAGTAATTCTTAAGAAATAAAGCAATACCTCTATTTTGTTACTCTAACCTTGTGTGTTATATATTTCTCTTGACAACGTTATATTTTGAACTAAAAGTAATTAAACTTTTCACCAAAAAGTAATATTTCACATATAAAAAAAAATTTAAAACGGTTCTGTCATTCTTACATTTGCGAAGACTGCCCTGATATCTAATCTATTTTCTTCTTCAAAGTAATTAAGTTGTTCAACCGTTGTCTATAAAGGTATCTCACATCTCCCTCATACACACGAATTTGAAAGCAGTAGAACAAAAATTCAACTAACCAGGTATACCAAGTCCGTGTAAAGAAAACTTTTCATATCCCGAAAACGTCAAGTGTCAACTAAAATTTCTACTTTTAAAGATCAAACGTGCCGCCTCAGAGTGCCAATACTGATTGGTATATATACTGGGACTGTACGTTATTAAGTGTCACCACACAATCGTATCTAATTAGATTAGGTTGGCGGTAAAACGGTTCAAGTGCACCTGAATCCGTTTACTTCCACACGCGAAGAAAGAATTTTTGATTACGTTTTGCTACCGGCTAACAGATGTCAGTAGATTGACGAAATGTTCTTGAATCTTTACACTACCAAATTAAAATAGCTTTTAACTATAGGAATATGTACTTAACTCGTTTTTTATAAAATGTGCACTCAAACCATTTTACTTCTAACCCCCTCAATTATTAACAATTTTATGCTCAACCTGAAGATAATTTTGCATTTGTTGGGTTAGAAATATATCTAAACCAGCACTGGACGTTAGCGAAATCCCTGCTACGTAGTTCATTCACTGAATACGCGTTTAAGGATCAAAGAGACCAACTTGTTTAACTTAAGCGAACAGGGAACTGAAACTGTTCCTGATACTGTAAATAACGAATATTCTATAGCGCTATTGATCCCAAATCACGTAAACATTGGGTATATACGTTTATATCTAGTCCAGTCAGGTGTGCTTTTGAATACAAATTTCAAATTTATGAATAGGAGCTGAAAATACACTGGTGTTCAATTCAGGTTATTATTCTAAAAAATACCTATAAACACCACTTCTGTTTCACTAAGGACCGATTCCACCGTTGTGTTAAACGGAGATTAAAAATGACATTGTTAATGTAAAAATGTCATTTTAATCTTCGTTTAACACAACGGTGGAATCAGTCCTAAAACGTTTTCATTTTGAAACCGGATTACTGCATTTTTTTGAATTAAAAAATATTTTCTTTTTCTTAATTGAAAGTTCAGTGAAAGTTTGTCAGTTTAAAATCAAATGACCAAGAACAGCCAATCATAACAAAATTACACCAATTATAGTCATGAGAAGAAAGGAGTGCATTAATTTAATTTGCAGAACTTATTACAGGTTAAAGAAGTAGACATTTTATTTATACCTTATCCTTCAATGCTTATTTGTAGTTAAAATGGATATTTTAATACATCTGATCGGCCTAATAATAGTTTTTGTTTAGATTTCATAGTTTAAATTTAATCATGGTTTTTACTGTAATAGACCTTCTCTTTTGACAGATAAGTCTTTGCGTGGAGACATGATTATTTAAGGAAATTGGTGTAAGAAAGGAATCAGCTTAAACAGATATTTTATTTAGATGAAAGGGTTAATGCTGAATATACAATAATAAAAATTTGGTAAAATACCTCCATCAAAACTAAAAAACAAGCCTTTATGAAAGGAGTCTCCTGTGGATTAAAAAACCCAACAGGAAAATGAAATCGTTTAATAATAACACACACTGGAACCACCGATGGTTTTTTGCCAGATGGTTTATTAATGTTTAAGAAAAATAATAAAAAAGACTAGGTACTTAAAAAAATGGATGGCCCTATGTTTGAAAATTGCTTTCGTTATTGTTTTAAATAATGCATCCTATCACAGTCGATTAAAGGAGTCACTACCTGTGGTAACAAGATGGAAAGCAGAAGATATTTTAAAATGGCTTCATTTTCAAAATATTATCAACCTTCCCAACTCCTTGAAGGCAGAAATACTCGTAATAGCAAGACAACATAAAAACAAATTCAAAAAATAGGTTATATACGAGATGGCCTGAGAAAAAGAAATTTAAATTCTCAGATTGCCTCCTTACCAAGCAGAGTTAAATCCGATTGAACTGATCTGGTCACAGTCAAGAAGAATATGGTTCTCGAAAGAATGCAATATATAAATTACCTGATGTGCGAAATTTGTTTTTGAAGGCAGTTTTAGATGTAAGTGGAGAACATTGGAGAAAATGCATTGATCATGTTAAAAAGGAGAAAAATTCATTTTTTAAAGTGAATATAGTAATGAAAAACTTAATAAGCCCTATATTAATAAACCTCATAAAAGTCAATGATAATGATACCAGTAGTTATAGTGAAGACAGTGACTTTTAAAGATAGCTCTTAAAATAATTGTTTATTTCCGGGCTGTTATGCCGTGATCTTTCTTGGGTATTACCACCAAACGTTTTAGCTGCAACTGCGGCAGCCATCTTCAATGGCGTGGACCAAGTACTCTTCTCGACGTATCAACTTAAACTGAATCCTCCTTTGCTCCGAGTGTGGTATTTATATCTGTGTCTACTTTCTCTTTTTTTGGCAGTACAGGTATTGGCGATTTTATATACGCGCTTTTTCCTTCATTTTTCATGTTTGTATATTTCTGTAGCCTCCAAGTGAAGTCTGGTCAAGTAATGTCTTGATATTGCCAGTAGGTCAGTGTTTTCAAAAAGGATCTTGTGTCGTCGGATAATGTGTGTTCGGCGACTGCAGACTTTTCGGTTTGTCCCAAACGACAACTTCGTTTTTGTTGTGTTAGTGGTGTGCCAATGATTCTCTTTGTTTGCCCTATGTATACTTTTCCACAAGTACATGGAATTCTGTAGATTCTTGCTGATGTGAGAGGAGCTCTGTAGTCTTTTGCTGTTTTAAGGTAATCCCCTGTTTCTTTGTTGGCTTGTAGACAGTGCCGATTTTCTTTTTCTTAGGGATTTTGCCAATTCAGTTAGTGACAACTTCTACGTACGGTAGATAGACAGTTCCTTGGTTTTATTCTTCACGCCTTGGGCAGTAGCACGGGTTATGTCTGTTTTGCTGTATCAATTTGCTTATAACACTATTGTCAGGTGTTTTATTTCATCGTTGATGTGTCTTGGATCATCTATACTTAACGCTCTGTTTACTAAGATGTTGATAACTTTGCGCTTCTGTTTTGGATGATGGTTCGATCCATAATGTAGATATCGATCAGTATGTGTCTTCTTTATGTATACTCTGTGACCTAGTTTATTGTCTTCTCGGCTGACTAACACATCTAGAAAAGCCTCAGCCAATGCTTTGGTTGTATTTCAGCAGTGCGAATAGCTCTTTCTTCAAATTTTTCCATGTAAAAATTGGCCACAACTGGACCGAGTGGACTGCCTATGGCGACTCCGTCAATTTGTTCATATAAGGTTTAATTCCACTGGCAATATAATGTTGTGAGCTAATATCGGAAAAGATTGATGAGCTCTGGGAAAATCTCTTTTACCAGATTTCTCCTGTAGTCCGATGTGTTCATGACGACTGTTGCATTTCCTTTGTCAAAGGGTAGAATTATGATCTTTTCATTCTCATTGAGACTTCTTATAGCTTCCTTCTCACCTCTTAAAATATTGCTTTTTGGTAATTTGGGTTTCCGTGGAATTCTTGCAGATTCACTGCATACCTCTTCTTTGACACCAGGTGGTAGTATTTCAATTTCGGCTTCTATATTGGTAATGCCTTCTTCTGTAGGTATTGTCTGTGGGGTTATGCTGAAATTTCCTCCTTTGGCTAGTAAGCTTGTTTCGTCATCCGTAAGTGGCCGATTCGAGAACTTGATTAAAGTCTGTTTCATATTTGTCTTCAAAGTTTTGAGTTGTTTTTTTGGATTCTGTTGATCCATTAATCCAATGGCCAATTTTTACATGGAAAATTTTGAAAGGTTTTTCTGCTCGTCAGATTCTTTACAATTATAATTAAAACTAAACATTTCTAAAGTAAATCGTTACCTATAAATCTACAAATAAATTACTATACCTAAATTCGTTTTAAATAAATTTTTGTGCGCTTGAGATCTATAACATTTTAGTAATAACCTAAAAGTCAACTTACCTGTGGAACGAAAGATTTAACATGTAAATAGTCCGTTTTTTACAAACAAAACACTACCTATTTCACCATGTTGATAATGGGTATGCCCTATATACACAAATAATCAAACAAACTCAGAGAAGCAGTTTTCACAAAAAGATAGCTGCAGCCCACCAAACACAAAGAACTTTTATGAATGAAACAAATTTACAATTTGGTCTAGAAATACGATCAAAAGTAAATGCGATGTTGCCAAACATAAAATTTCTTCCGATGATTTAAATTCAAACAGTATTGCAAGCAGAGATAACGAGGAGATAACTACTAACAAATATCGTGCGGTCCTGAATAAGACATATTCCAAGGGACACAGGCGGGTATAATATCCGCTGTTGTTATATGCCTATTTCATTATTCTCGTTTTGTTTACAAAATTATTTACATATATTAAAAAAGCTAAAATAATTCAACCTATTTTATTGCAACTGAACCCAAAAAATTTTGAATCATTAGTTATATTAAATTTAACTAAATAAGATGTAATTTCACTAAATTAGACGTAATATTTTTTAATAAATTCCAAAACCTAGTGATGTTAGGTTATAAGTGGCAACAGAGCTTACACCGGCATGGATATTTACGTTGTTTATTATAAGCGCATAGCGTCTTACACATTTATTCATTGATAAAAATAAGTTGCATCTGCGTAAAATTCTTCTCTTTATCCCTTCTCTTACCTCTCACCGTTCGTCGCCTCGCCCCGTTCCTACAAACAGAGTGTATCGATTGTCGATATCGTGAATATTATATTTTATCAATGAATGGTTATGTCTCTGTTATCTCTGATTGCAAGCTAATGTATTTACGTTACTACTGTTAAAACACCGTAAACTTGGCATCAATGTTCAATCAGATTATTGTGTTTCTGCCGCGGACGCCAACGTTGAGGCTTCAGAAATTTTGTAAATAATCCTTTCTGCCTTGGTTATATATCTATGGACATATATATTTTTTATATGCTTACTTTTATGCAATCGTTCAATTTTTAATAGGTAGCTTAATATCATACACGTGCAATTGCGTTATTTTGTGATATGCCTATATTATTATGCATGTACTTTTGTGATATTGGTACTTGATTTCAGCAGGATTTTTTACGAAAAAAATGGTTTGATTTGAAATTTCTATGTTTTCTTGAGATTTTACCATAACCTCAATTTAAAATGTTAATGGCCGATTGCATATTGAATATTAGAAATCCATTAATTAATGAAACAATTAGGTCCATAATATCTTACGGATCTATAAAATGATTCAAAACAACTTTCGAGGGAAAGTTCTGTAAAACTATGTGACGTTTTCTGAATTTCTCTTTGTAACCTCTATGAAAGGTGTTATAGAACTATTTTTTTTTTTGGAGTGAGTAGTAGGGATTAAGTATAAGGGGTTAAGAAAAGATCCTTTATTTCTCACAAGTCAATTTTAATTGGCGACCGGTTTCGAAGCTGTTGCTTCATCATCAGGCACACCTAAATGGAATATCAAGGAGTCAGTAGTAATAAAAACAAAAACATTGTTGTTATTGTTTGTGTTTATAATTGTTTTTATTATTACTGACTCCTTGACATTCCATTTAGGTGTGCCTGATGATGAAGCAATAACTTCGAAACCGGTCGCCAATTAAAATTGACTTGTGAGAAATAAAGGACCTTTTCTTAACCCCTTATACTTAATGTTATAGAACTCCTGCAGTTCCTGACATTAGAAAGTTCCATGAATATTAGAATTACATTAAAAGAATATAACCTGGGAGTTTAAAGATTCCGGAATTTCAGTTCATTAACACAGATGGGATGTTTATGTGTTAGCTGTATAGCGATATACATTAGTACCGTGAACAAAAAAAAATATATATTTTAATTTATTTATTTAAAAAAAATATAACGTCATTTTTTAAGATACAATATAAAAAATACCACTTTACAATAATGTATATTACCACAACTAGGAACAGCACAACGAAATTTAATTTATGCCAGTGTATTCATAGTCGCACTACTTTATTACCTTTTAAAAATAACTGAATTTCTTCTAAAGTGTAACCCTTAGTTTCCGGAACTATTTTAATTACTAGTATCAAAAATAAGACGCTAAATGCAGAAAATCCAAAAAATGGAATTGTCAAACTACCAAAATAATCTCCAGTAGTTTGAAAGATTTTCGCGGTTATCATTCCTGTAAATACCATAGTAAGTTCAACTAAAGTCAAAGCATTAGATTTAACACTTGTTGGAAATAATTCACTTGCATAACAGAATGGAACAAAACTAATAGCGATACTGTTAAAGATGTTATATGTCACCAAAGAAGTGATTGGTAGGTAATTCAAACTATTTATTAAGCTGCTATTAAAATCTTTTAAGAGAAAATATGAACCTATAGTGAGAAGTGCGATAATTGAACCGATCACTGATATTACAGTTAATTTCTTTTTTCCGAATTTATCTATTATGAAATATGCACTTATTGCTGCCACAATTAACTCAACAAAACAAAAACTTATAGACGATACAGTAGAACTAATAGTGCTTCCAGTTTGTTCAAAAATAGTCTTTGTATAAAATATGAGCGGTGCTTTAGCTGTAGCTCTTTGTAAGCAAGTTACCAACAAGCAAATAAGAGAAGCTTTTCTGTTACTCCGAACAGTAAAAAGTTCTTTAAACGAAGATTTTGTAGCAGCTTTGTCTTCTTCAACTGATGTCTTCATAATTTCAAACTGTTTACTAATTTCCGATGTTCCTCTAAATATTTTAAAAGCTTTCTCAGCTCTCTCATACCTATTAACTTTTAAATACCAATATGGAGATTCAGGCATGAAAATAAAAATTAAAAAATGTACTGCAGGTATTAATGCTGAAATCATGGAACAAGTATAGATATCCCAAAAGGAACCGATGATGTTAATGATGAGTGTACCAATAATAAAAGATAAAGAAAGGAAAGAGGATAAAAATCCTCTGATTTCTGGAGACGAAATTTCTCCTATGTACATAGGTACTATTGTATAACTTGCACCATCTGCAATACCAATCAGACTTCTTAGAAGGCACAAATACCAAATATTTCTTATGTAAGCAATGGCAATACAGCAAGTCATAACTACAGGAGCCATATACAAAATTGACCATTTTCTTCCAAATTTATCAGCTACCAATCCACCTGCAATCGCTCCAAACATACGTCCAATAAGCGGAGCCGTTACTAACCAGGAACCTTCTTCATTTGTGATTGGAATTATTGAAGAGTTTGAGGTTAGATATGGAAGAAAAGGAGAAGTCCAAGTTGTGTTAATTCCATAGCTTACTAACCCTAACGCACCTAAAACAGTTATATACTTAATAAATAAATTTGATTTTAGAATAACTTTTTTTTAAATTATATTATTAAAAGATTTGAAACTTCGTACCCAAGAAAACCTATAAATCAATATTAATCCAGAATTCGTATTCGTTCAAGATTGCTGGTTGGAATTTCAATGGGAGCCCAATCCTGAATATTTGAAAAAACGATTGTGTTGGTAGGTTTTTAGATGTTCGAAGATGGATTGGGTAGAAGTTAGAAGACTAGCAAGCTGATCTGGTTGGTAGCCAGATACTTAAAGGAAGTTAGAAGAGCCGAAATCATTAATGTTTGGTAAGATTGAGATGGGGATAATCTTCTAAATGGCATTAATGATGCAAACTGTTGATATGCGTTCACTGGATTTCTACTATATAAAATCGGTGACAGTTGTTTAAAGTAACGATGACATGAGGTAATCGTCGTAGCCAACCCAACAGTTGTAAGGCGCGGATAAGATAGAGAGCAGAAAGTGTTTGGAAATTTATTAGATTTAAAAGTAATGGCGAAATTGTCGAATAATGGGAAAGGTCAATTAAAAGAATATTATTTTTTCAACATTCTAAATACGTTGCCACATCACATGAGCTCACGTGATATCATGTCTGGCGTGATATCACATTATATTTACGTTTAGAATGATATTAAATTGCGATTTGTGTGTGTGTAGCACTTGGTGATGTTCTGTAGATTTTAAGGAAGATATGGAACATATCACAACATTTGTGATACTACTAAATATTAAAATCAAATTGACGTGGGTTCATAGTATTAAGGATAAAATTCAGCTAAGTATTCAGTAGCACAGTTATTTTAAAATAAATACAGTTGATAATACATTTAGAACGAACCCCCTCCCTCCCCGATAATTTATCTCACTTAAAAAATGTTAAAACGAACGTATTCTGTATCTGTAAAGAATGAAAGGTGAGTTACTCTGCGGCATTTAGACCTCACTAAGCCTATTGTGCATCCTCCTACATTGATAGGCCTCCTCTTAGCTCATCAGACAGTCTACAGATTTAAAGTAGTGTGACAACGTCGTCGAGAGGTGATGAACGTATTATACATTCATGAAATCGTGCTTTACTTTTTACAATGAAAAAAGAAGAATGCTTAATAGTCAGACTCAATCCTAAGAAGACAGAAATGGTCCTTTTCACAAGGAGAAGGATGAAAATGGAATTAAAACCTCCAGAACTCCTAAACACAAAACTAAACTTTGCGGCAGATGTAAAGTACCTAGGTCTCACCTTTGACAGCAAGTTAATATGAAACTCGCAGAGTTAAACAGAGTTAAAAGAGCATACATTGCTTATGAACAATGCCGCCGTACTGTGGGATGCACCTGGGGTTTCTTCCCCAGAGTCGTCGCATGGACTTACACGGCTATCATAAAACCTATGTTAACATACGGTGCAGTTGTTTGGGTACCAAAAACCCAAAAATTAACAGCTATCCGTAAACTAGAACAAATTCAAAGAAAAGCATGTCTCAACATAACAGAAGCCATGAAAACAACACCGACTAGAGCGATGTAAGTCATTCTTAGTCTAACTCCCCTTGGTATTTACATCAAGGAGGTTGCTCTAACTACAATGACACGCCTCCGCATGGTCGGAATAGAACCTGATGTAGGATCTGGTGAGGCGAGACGTCGCTTTTGGCAGGAGGCGCTCGATACGCTCCCACTGCTTCAAGCGAACATGGACTCCATCTCACCGAGATATATCTTCCATAAGCCATATAAAGTTATAATAGAACAAATAGAAGAGCCAGAAGTGGCAGGTACGATTCATATCTACACCGACGGTTCTAAAACAAACCAAGGCTCAGGATGCGGAATATACCCCAGATTCTTAAACCTAAACATAAAATGGGCTGTGAGCAATAGTGCCAGTGTAGTTCAAATAGAGCTAGCGGGGATTCTCATAGCAGCAAAAGAAATAACCAGAAACAATATCACTGGAAGGAACATGCTTATCTATACAGATAGCAGACAAGCACTACTCACCCTGAACAGACCACGAATTTATTCACGGTTAGTACTTAGAATGTCATGAAGCTTTGGCCGAAGAATCCATCACAATGTGGTCAACTTAAGATGGATCAAAGGTCACGCCACATCGAAAAGTAACCCTCTTGCCGATTCACTAGCCAAGAAAGCAGCCAACCAAATACTTTTTGGACCTGGCCCTTCTATGGGCCTGACAAAATCGATAGTGACAGACCTAATTAAAGAACATTCACTTGTGAAATTCAAGGAAAGATGGGATGAAACAAGAAACTGCAGAGTTGCCAGGAAGCTCTTAAGTCGTCCTGACAACACTGCAGCAAACAAATACTTGACTATGACTAGACAGAATCTGCGCCTGGTCACAGGCATTCTGAGTGGTCATTGTCAAGTACGGAAGCATCTCCATATCATGGGGCTGTCAGAATCCCCACTCTTCAGAGGGTACGAACAAGAAGATGAGACCATCGAGCATATCGTTAATGATTGCTCGACACTCTCATTTATTAGAAGATTTGTGTTCGGCGAGTATCGGCTAACACCAGCCGATATAAGAGAAGCACCTCTTGGCGACGTTGTCAACTACATTAAATCTGTAGGCTGGCTCACGAGCTAGGAGGTGTCTATCATCTTAGGAGGATGCACAATGGGCCTAATGAAGCCTAAGTACCGTGGGGAGTACTCCACACGTTACAGATACAGATAGTCAGACTCAACGTAACTTCGACTCGATAGGCGGTTAACTTGGCAAATACATATATTTGCCAAAAGAAAACAACTTGGTTTTAAGCTCAGGCAAATTTACTAGCTGATTGGTCGGAAATCGGAACTAACCCTCAAAAAAAATTAACTGTTGTGAAATGAAAACGTGATCGTGTAATTGTAATAATTTTTAAAAATATAAGTACAGAATTTCATAAAAATATTCAAAAGAAAACGAACGTATTGAAACAAAAGAATAAATTGGGTTATTACTCTAGTCAATGACTTACATTGAACTAGAGAATTATCTAAGGTAGTATGTTGATGTTCTAAAAAGTAAAACTGTCACGTAATCTTTGGGTTTAAATAGAGAGACTAGACTGGAGTAAAAGACTCGAGTAAGGACTGCGCTGCAAAACTATTGCCGAAAGGCGAGACTTTCATTTCGGGACCCTATAGGTCCCAAAATGCCCTAATGTGTAAAGTATTGTACAGCAATTTGTGTATTTAGATGTAAATATCTTTAAATTATTTTATTATGTTGTTTGGATTTTTGTTTTGAGATAATTAATTTACTGATATCCATATAAATGCCAATTTTTTCCATTTTGGTCCAAATGTTTTATCTTATATTTTTCTTTTTTCTTATTAATATTCGTTTGTTCCAATATTTATTCCTTAAATAATAAATTGATTATTAATTAGTCATTTTGTTCTAATTTTAAATATACATATAAGTACCAATTTAATACTTATTATTCTTTCCTGTCTATTCCAAAACCAATTATGAAATATTCTGAGCATTTTTGAAGCTTAGGAGTTTCTACCCCTAGAGGACCAGAAGAGTCAATAACTAGTGGCCAAAGCCGCTCTACCATGTTGTTAAGAGATATGTTTGTTTTCTTTTATTTTATTATTTTTTCGTCTCTGGTGAATGAATGATCCTTCGGGACTCCAGGACTGCAGGACTCCAGAACAGTGCTGCCTTAATCCCTTAATAGTATATTGAAAACAGTAGCTAAAGACCTATCAGTCGTTACAAATGGGTCTTTAGGCTAGTTAGTTTTTACATTTGATGACAAGCAGCGGTCCTTTACAGTAGTTGATTGTTACATAATGATGACAACGTAATAAGTATAAAATACATGAGGTGAAAACAATATTTTTGATACATTTAATTCAATTGCGACAATAATGTGTCCTTACCCTTACAATAATGTTGTGTAGGGATTACGTTACAATTTTTTGTCCCCAAGAGGGCTCTAAAATCAGAATAAGCCTTACTAATATTCCTATTAGGTACTAAATTTTCCTATAAATTAACTTTTCTAAGATGTGAAAAATTATACAGAGTATAAGTTTGGTGGCTAAGAATGGCAGGGAGTGAGATAGGATGGTAGCAGGTATACTATATTATGTGTCCCAGTGTATTAAATCACTTCTCGAAAAAATAAGCTTCTTACTTTGAAGGCAGCAGAAATATATGATTTAGAACCTTTCACGCTGGCCCCGGTATAAAAGTACGGAAATCTAAACGGGCACCCTCTGTTTTACAATGTATTGGATAAGGTATAATAGGAGAAAGCATGAAACAAATAAAGACTGCTGAGCAGCAGAAACTGTCTGGAACATGGTACGTACGATTTCCACATCACTCCCATTTACGCTCTAAATGATTCTTGGTATAAATCAGAAATTTTTTCTGCAGAAGACATGGGCTACTAGAGAGAGAGCTCGAGAATTTAAGGTATGTACTGTTTATAGTATATTACATTACGAGTGCGAAAAATCACTGTTAGGTACTCGAGTCATGTAGGTATACCATTTATCCTATAAGACAAACCGAAAACTGTTTTAAACCAAAAAATATATTGGTTGTAACTCTACCTTAAAACTTCATTTTTATGACCCGCAAACAATTTTTAAAAACAACTAAAAACATATACAGTGTGTCAATTTGAAACCAAACAGCACTAAATATTGTCTCTACCAATGATACTATAAAAATTTGGCGAAACGCGTCTATTTACATATCAAGGGGGACAATTGTTGAGGCATTTGTTGTTGTATTACTTTCAAATCCCTGACCCTAGGGTACCTAGCCAAAAATTTTATATGGCAACCCCTATTTTTTAACATTTTTTTTTGGTTCCTTATGTAATTCTAGATAAATTGCATTAATATTTTTTGTAAAATTGAAGTACTTAACCTCACAGATGTGTGGAATGTATTTAGTATCTAAATTTTAATAATTCAAATTTTTAAAAAAGTACGTTAATGGTATAAGAAATTTCCATTGTGTTGTAAGAACAAGTACATCGGATTATCAAACTGTTCTCGGACGTGTTAAAGAATCTCGGGTGAAATAGCTCTACATTATTGTACAATTATTTATTGCAGTTGTTCAATTGGGTTTTAAATACAACAGATTTCAAGTGACCCCATAGAAAAAAATCATCCAGAGGTGTCAAATCTCGTGACCTAGGTGGCTATTCTCTCCTACCAATCCACTGCGTAGTGGGAGCCATAGCAACTTGACCAAGAACCTCAATCTGCGCGGCCTCATTGAGCAATCTTGGCCCATCCTTTTTTTATTGCAGTTTCTTCAATTTTAGCTACTTACAAAAATGGTAAAAGAAATAGGGGTTGCCATTTAAAATTTTAGTGGTAGGTTCCCTGTCGGTCAGGGGGTTAAGAGTAATACGATAACAAATGCCTTAACAATTATTAGGCTATCATTAGTAGAGGCAATATTAAATGCTGTTCGTTTTCAAATTGACACCCAAAAAAAATTAAAATTCAACTTACATGAAAAGGTAGCTAGATATTGAAATAAATTTGAACCCAGCTGCTTTTTCTCGGTCATTTGTTACATATATACTTAATTAGTGAACGCAAACAAAATGGAAGGCTAACATCAAATATCCCAGCATTTAAGAATGATATCTTCTTATTTTACATTTTTAAATATTTGTTATTGAATTAACAAGGTTTAGAGATATTTACTTTTATCTCTGCTTATCTCTAGCTGAATTAATGTGAAATTATGATTTTTCGGAATTAATATACAAGTTATTTGACAAAAATGGCGAAGAATAAATACCGCTTCGGTATTTGTTGTGTTGTGCGAACTTTTTTAAAATCAAGTATTAAAAAAAATATGGTCACGCTTCGTATAAATCCACATTTTCCAAATTAAATCATTACTAAAATAACACCCTGTATAGAAATATTTTTAATTTATTTACGGATTTGTTTTAAGTCGCGATCATGTACAAGGTTAATTATTTAATATTAATTAAACATCAGTCTAATACCAATAAATTATGGAAAAATTATAAAGACAATTTCGGGGAGATGCATGGGATTTTTCCACCGAATTATTTGTGTATGAGACTCGCCTGGTATGGAATTCTCACTTCTGCAGATCGCGGAGCTGCAACCGGAACCGGAGGCTTTGGATACCAATTATCGGTCTTTGTTTTGCGATTTTAAAGTTTAATCAAAGGTTGTGAGTTGTGCCCCAAATATTGAAATTGATAAATGGATTAGTTTATTGTGATTAGTTTCAAATCATAAAACAACCATATTAACTGTTTTATGATTTGAAACTAGTCAAATATTTTGCTAATTTATATTTTTATTTGATTTTACTTCATTACATTTTTGCATAACTTTAAACTTGAAATAAAATGGAATTTATTTTATTTTGAATTTTTTTTTTATTAAAGTAAATTAATGCCACATCATTCAATTTGTCTATTTAAACATGGAAATGCTCAGACAAAAATGCATTTACACCATTTAAATAATTAAATATTGTAACAACCGGGATGCCTAAAGACCACCACTTGTCACTAAATATAACAACCAACTGTCTAAAGACCTACTGATAGATCTTTAGCTACTGTTGTTAATATACTATTAAGGGATTAGGGTAGCACCGTCACCAGCCAAAGGGTCCTGGAGTCCAGAAGGAACATCCATTCACCAGTAGCAAATAAAAATAATAATAATAAAAAAAAATTAAATTAAAAGAACAAAAATTATCCCTTAATAGCATAGACGAGCGGTTCTTGGCAACTAGTTTTAGACTATTTTAGTCCTAAGGGAATAGAAACGCCGAGGCTTCTCAAATGCTCGAATATTTTACTGGTTTGGAAAGGGGGGGAAAGATTAATAATAAGTATTAAAACATTAACAAATGTATATTTACAATAAGTACAAAATTTGAAGAATGAATAAAATTACATTTAGGGAATAAAGCACTACTTGTTAATAGATACAAACTTTATATAAAGATTTTAAGATAACTAGATCAACATTTTATTGAATAATAAGTTTGGACTTATTAACAATTATAAATAGCACTGGAAAACTTTAACTACATAATAATATTTATAAAAAATGTATAAATATAATAATCGGGACGAAAATGTAAAATTGGCATTTATATGTAAATCAATTAATTACTATCAAACAAAACACTTTAAAAATAAGTTAAAGATATTTACCCATAATTCACAAAATCGATACACAACATTTTACTCTACACTTTACATTGTTTGGGACTTAAAGAGTCCCAAAAAAACGAAAGCTTCCGCACTCGGCGAAAGTTTTGGACCTTTGTCCGCACTCGACTGAGTGACTTTCTTTCTGTCTCCTCTCTATATAAACCAAAATTTACATAATGGTTGTATTTTTAAAAATGTCACGCTCAATGTAGCCATTGACTAGATTAATAACCTGATTGTTTCATTTTGTTTTTGTCACGTCCAGTAAAATATTAAAAAACCATTATTAAAATACATTAAATAAATTAATATACTTTTAAATAATCCCTAAAATAAAAATAATTATCTCTAATAGAAAATCTCAATAATATCTTAAATGTAAATATATCCTTAGGTAAATAATATTGTATACATTTCATAACAAAAACATAGACGTTGAACGATTACCGACCTGCATTAATTGTGTCGAATTAAAGAAATAGCAAATTCAGCAAATAGTTAATAGGTATAAATTCGACACTAATTACTGTTACGAAGACAGTTCTCCTTTTGCTGTACTGGGAGGTATCTAAAGTAATAGATACTTTTTAGTTTTGGAGTAAGCGTCGTGACGTGCCACTAACAGGGATGTTTTGGTAAGGCCTTTTATATTGGATATTATAATTATCTATTTTATATTTTGAATATTGAATATTATTTATTGACGAATAAAATTGTTATGTTTTAACTCGACTTTTATTTCATAAAGAAAGGTAGCCAGAATTAATAAGATTAAATAATTCTTTCGACCCATAGAAAAGGGGGTCGTGAAATATGGTGGAGGCGCCGGTTTAAAAATCTCGAAGGGTTAATTCTTCCAAATTAACTCCCTAAAAAATTTAAAAAATTACTAAAACACACACCTACCTCGCTTTATGAAATTAAATTTTCCTAAAAGGTTTAATTTCAAATTTTTCTTTTTTAAAAGGCAGAGTTACAAATTTTTTTGTTTTGTAATTTGTATTAAAATTTTTTTTTGCCTAAATACAAGGGTTGTACGATAGTTAACGCAGGTGTTTTTACCGTATTTTTGCTTCTTGAAACTCATCTCTTGGTGATCAGACCCTGAGATAAGGTTCCCAATTTTCCTAGTTAAACCTTCGGTGTGATCAGACATAGAGGGAATAACTAAACCCCAATCGCTACGAATATCTTTTCTTCTGTGTGATCAGACATTGAAGCGAAGGTATTCCGCGGGTACAACACCGTTACGTATCCCTTGTGTGATCAGACATTAGGGATAGGTGACAAACACCCCGCTGATAGAGATTGAGTGTGTTAAAAAATCAGTAAAAATCCCAATTGGTAAGAAAATTAGTTTTTTCTGTGTGACCAGACATTGAATAAACAAATTTTCAAGGCCCAGATACCGACCAACACCTCTTGTGTGATCAGACATTAGGGGTAGTGGACGGATGTCTCGCCGCTGAAGATTGGGATAATTTAAACGCGAATTGTTACATCTGTTAAACAACTCATTGAAATCAATTCAAGGGAATTTTAAGTAAATTAATTAAAAGTTAGAAGAATAGGGGCATTAATTAATTATAAAAAAAAAATGGTTACATAAGAATAATAAGAAGGAAGCGGCCCATGCAAGCCGGGCCCTTCCTCGCAATGATCCGTGGACCTGAATCAGAACTAATCCCAATGAAGTAATTTGTAGCATAGCATTCTTAAATTAGTAATTTATTATGGTTTTTATTTATACACATAGATGATCTAGATTTTTTTATTTAGCCATATGCATTTCACGTACTAACATTATTTTTGTGCAGGATAACAGTATTTTTTGGTATCATCGCTAATAACTTTAACAAGGAACAAAGGTATCTACTAGTATGTTTTGTATACCATTATCTGAAAAAGTAGCTTACGTTGCTACTATCTCAATAATCTGCGAGTCTAGGTGGAGCGAGTCAAATGCAAACTCCAGTCAAACCACTCAGGAAACTACTCAAAGAAATAAGTTAAAGAGTTCAAACTGTCTCCAACCGAAAGGCACAGCAGTCACCCCCACAAGCACAGCCCAACCTACTGGAAGTTCCAACTAGGGACGAACGAAATTGTCTACAAATGAATCACAACAGACGCCTGATAGTGGAAGTAGAAAATAACAAACTGCAAGAATTAACTTCAGGACAGAGTCTACCATGCCTCATTAAAACTGAGGAAAATTAAGTCGCAAGTAGTGTAGGAATGAATATGTGTGAATGTTGATATGAATGCTAGCGAACGCACTAGGTACATTTTTTTTATATTTAAAAAGTATTTTTTCGTTAATCACAATCAAGGAGAGGAGAGGTTGGAAGAATGCACGTATGTAGCTGAAATCTCCCCTTGCCTTTATACAGTACAGCAATAAATAATAAAAAAAATTAAATTGAGGATCCTCGACAGAGTATAAGTGAAAATTTTTGGTACCCAAAAGGCACCGAATGGTGCAAATAAGTCTCTTAAGGAGAAATGTAGATGAGTGTATGCCTACAAAATGAAATAAAATTTTTGGTACACAACAAAGTAGTTTGGTACCCAAAAAGCACATAATGGTGCAAATAAGCCTCTCAAGGAGAAATGTAGATGAGTATATGCCTACACAATAAAATTTTTTTTTGGTACCCAGCAAAGTCATAAGTATAACGAATAAATGAAAGGAAATTGGTACCCAAAGGGCACAAAAAAGGTGCGATTAAAATGCATATAAATTAGTAATAGGAGGACGCTCCAAGATAATTGAAAAAAATGCATTTGTGGAATAGTATTGATTTTATTAGAAATATTGATATTAAAGGTAGTGTGATTTATGAAAAAATTTTATCGAAAAAATACACCATAACAAGGTAAATAAACTAAATAATAAACAAGTAAAATTAAACCTAGTGAAGCAAATCAACAATAACTAACTACTAAGACTCAACTTACTAAAATATTATTATTTTTTTTTATTTTCAACTACAAAATAAATGTATAAGTCAATTATCGTTCAAAGAATAGAATTTTATCATTGGGTTGGAAAATTTAATTTTCTATTTTAATTATTTTTTAAAGCTAGAATTCGATAAATGAGTGGAAAAGGCTGAATTTTCAGTTTAAATTGGTTTCCTCTCGATTTAAAGGCAAGGGTAAATTGCTTAAATAACCTGGACAATTGTAATATAAAAACTATAAATTTGTAAAGGGTTTGCCCTTGTCCAAATTAATTTTAAGTCAAATAATTTAGGATAAAATTTCATATACCTTTAATTTTAGTTTTTTTTTTGCATATGAAAACACACCCACGAGCCAAGCACTCCTCCAGTTCAAGGACCCAATCCAGCCTCAGTCACGATCATCCTTGAAGCTAGCCCTAAGAGACAGGAACCAACCGGAT